ATTCGCTAAGTTGCCAGTCGCTGAAAATGGTTCGCTCAAATGACGTTCGCTCAAATGACACTCGCTAAAGTCGCTCGCACCGACTGGCAACCGTTGTAAGGTGATGTGCTAACCTCTGTGACACTCGAGCCGGCGCGCGCAGTACCGGTCCGCGCCGGCCACTGAATGTGGCTGTCGTGAACCGATAGTTTGTAGGTACTGTGTTCCCACGCTAACCTGCAGGATGTGTGCGGAGAATGCTGTTTTAACAGAACACTACTTCCTGTCTCAAATATTCGGTCGTCCTCGTGGTCTCAAATATCTGATCGTCCTCGTCTCCCTGATTAACAGTTAAATAGGTTAGTTTGGTAACGCGCGCCTCACCGCTGCTAACTGATGGCTGTTTTTATTTTGTCATTAATATTATTCCTCCCATGCCTTTGCTTTCACTTGTAGATTAGTTTTGATTGTCCTCTTTCTAATCTGCAAGTGACTAGGAGGTACAGGGTATTTGTAGATGCCAATTTTTCGATTACGTGACAAAAGATCGTAAGACAAAAGATCGTATGGAAAAAGATCGTACGAAAATGATCGTAAGATAAAGATCGTATGGTGTAAAAGATCGCACGGTAAAAAGATCGTAAGCAAAAGATCGTAAAGCAATTGATCGTATGCAAAAGATCGTACGAAAATGATCGTAAGATAAAGATCGTATGTTGTAAAAGATCGTACGACAAAAAGATCGTAAGCAAAAGATCGTAAAGCAATTGATCGTATGAAAAAGATCGCAGGAAAATGATCGTAAGATAAATATCGTATGTCGCAAAAAATCGTACGACCAAGGATCGTAAGCAAAAGATCGTAAAGCAATGGATCGTACAAAAAAGATCGTAGGAAAATGATCGTAAGATAAAGATCGTATGTTGTAAAAGATCGTTCGACAAAAGATCGTAACGTTACGTTCGTAAAGTAAATAATCGTATAGAATAGTGTTGTTACGAGCGAGCGAGCGAAGCGAAGTCTTTTGAATATAACGGGAAAATCTCAGTATGAGCGGCCCGGCCCGGCCGGCCTGTAACGCTTTTGAGAGGCTTATATCTCAGCAACCGCTGAACCGATTGGCCTGCGGTCTTTTTTGCTGGGTAGCCCCATCCCTTCTTCCCCGTAATTGACTACTTTTGATACATCTCAGTGGCCGTCGTGGCACGTGCCACGCAGGGCCTCGGCTAAGGAATTTTGACTGGTGGGCCACTTGGGCAGCGACATGGACTGACCTTCGTAGCCATAGCCCCTCCCCCATTTTCGATTTCTCCCCAGATTTTGGCCACTTTATTCTGCAAAGAATGTCAGGATGGCATTAAAAAAAAAATGCAAAAAGCGGGGCTGGACCCCCCCCCCCCCGACTCTTCAGAGAGAGGAGAGAGTAGGAGTAGGGACCCACAAACCTCTCAGTGGTGATACTCCGGCGGTGCACATAAAATCGCACAAGTAAAGTATGCACAAAATATTGACGCAGATTACAGGGCATGCAGATTATACAACTTTGGACGATAAGTTACGGCCGGTCGGATGTTAAAAATCAGCGAGCCCTGAATGGATCACTCGCCGACTGGTCGGAGATTCGAAAGCGGTCGGACGGGATCGGGCGTTGTCGGGTGGATCGGGAGGAATTGTGAACAGCACGAGTGCAACTTTATATATAAAGGGTTGTGGCAGGAACCCCAAAAGGGGGTTGTAGCAGCAACCCCAACATCTCTGAAAATGATCATTAAGCCTATTGGTGTCGCGACTCGCATGGAAAAGAATTGACTAAAAAGCTCAAGCGCACTGCGCAACCCTAATATTTTCTTAAAAAAAAAAACAAGTGATGTACACTTCAGGTGAACAGTGTCCCAAACTTCAGATTTCTCTTGGGTGTTTGAGTGGAAAATTCTAGCCACCCAAAATGTGAGAGTGAAAAATTATCCATTCTTATTCTTGGGTGTCATCTTCAGCCCAAATGAGAAATTTTTGGAACGCTGACTGTGAACGGTTTGAAATTCGTCCGACTGGTCAGATGTGCGACTGCAAGCATCATACCGGTCGTGAAGACGCATAATATCGCTTGCAGACTTCAATCGGCTAGAAGTTGCCGACACTACCTCTAGTTTGACTCTGGCTTATACCGTGTCTATCGGCGAGCCGTCTGAGATCGCTCGCAGGCTTATCCCCGACCGTCTGAACTGGTCTGTTCTTTATTCGTAGTTTTTCTTGCATATGTGACTGCAACTACTCGATCGATAGGAAAGCTTGCAAGAACTCTCGCAGACCTCGATCGGCAGGAAGCCGCCGACACTATCTGTAATTGACAGAGGCAGACGTCTTTCACAATTATTGCATAAAATTCAAAGCCTCGGTCACACTTCACCGGATTGGACCAACGGACGAGAAACGGACGAGAACTATCAGCGTCCGGTGATGTCCGTTTGTTTCCGTTGGACGTCCGTTTGTCATCCGTTAATATCCGTTCCATGTCCCGTGGTGTCCGGTTGAGCACACCGGACACCAACGGACATGGAACGGATACGGATGAGAAACGGACGTCCAACGGAAACGAACGGACATCCCCCGGACCCCGGACATCACCGGACGCCATCCGTTTCTCGTCCATTGGTCCAATCCGGTGAAGGGTGACCGAGGCTTAACCTACGGCTGTCTCAAGAAACCGGGAATGGTGATGGTATTAGGTGGGCAACGACGATCAAGTTCTTACTTTTAATAAATGCAACAATGTAGTAGGGCCTCTGTCTCTGTCTGTATCACAATGTTACCTACGTCGTGATGTAAAACGTGAAAGCTTAGATTTTTCGGAAAATTACTGGTGGGCCAAATCTTTGAGGCTGGTGGGCCATTTCGGGTCACTGGTGGGCCATTTGGCCCACCAGTTAACATGTTAGCCGAGGCCCTGGTGCCACGTGAGAAGTCAAGGGTGTTCAAGCAGTTTTGCAAAAGTAATGATTTTGAGAGGCCCATATCTCAGCAGCGGCTTGAGCGATTGTCTTGCGGTAATTTTTATAGGGTAGCTGCATCCCTTCTACCAAAGGCCGGGTACCCTTGATCTATGTGAGTGACCCCCAATGCACGTGCAAAATACAAAAAGAAGAGGTGCCAAATTTGTTCCCATTTCAGTAACTCGGTAATTACTGGGGCGATTTCGAACCAATGATGGACAATTGACGTCTTTAACCGGCCTTCGATAACAATGACTCCTATAACTAGGATTGGATTGAAACTAGGATCCTATAACTAGGAGAATTGCGACTTCAATAGTGATAACGCGATAAACATCTGTTGATGACTCGTAAAGCGATGACGATTCAAATGAAAATGTAACAGTGCGAAGGAAAAAGTATTTTTAACGCCGTTTACTTCAGCCGCTTAAGCAGCATTTTAACCTTCCAGGCGGTGGGGGGGGGGACATGGGTTTAGTTGTATTCACTTCAAATAGGTACCTACATGAAAACGGCAGCACATACATTCATTTATTCGGCACATATACAGCGCGTTGCTTTTAGGTGTCATTGAGCCATCTAAGCTCTGAAATAACACCAATGTAGGTATGGTCGAGCTTACGACGGCCACTTACTACGCGAACACAGAAATTGATAAGCTTTGTGTGCGCTGGAGTTGGGCTGCACCATGTGAATACCATATTTTGACTGTACGATCTTTATCTCATACGATCATTTGGCGTACGATCATTTTCCTTGACGATCTTTAGCGAATACGATCTTTTGTCCATACGAGCATTATGTCGTACGATCTTTATCCATTACGACTTTTTGGCATACGATCATTTTCCTTGACGATCTTTAGCGAATACGATCTTTTGTCCATACGATCATTATGTCGTACGATCTTTATCCATTACGACTTTTTGGCATACGATCATTTTCCTTGACGATCTTTAGCGAATACGATCTTTTGTCCATACGAGCATTATGTCGTACGATCTTTATCCATTACGATATTTTGCATACGATCAACTGCCTACGATCTTCTGCCATACGATCTTCTGCTTTACGATCTTTTGTCCGGTTACCAATTTTTCCTGGTTTTCTTATGTTGAGAACTACTCCCAGCTCTGTTAAAGGAAAAGGGCCACCTTTAACATGGGGATTGAAGCTGAGATAGCCATCTTGTAGCCCGTTTCCGAAAACCTATCTGTTTACCTCCTTACGGCCGATTTCGGCCTCCATTCGTAGTTATCGGCAATTTTAAAAGAAAATACGCCAGGATTGCGTCCTTATCCCAGGAATGCGTTCTTATCCGACAATACAGCCACCCGCGGCGAGGCTTTGGTTTTTTACCAATTAGCTCCAACCTGCTCAGCTTTAACCAATCAGCTTATCTGACACAATCCGACGAGTCTGTCTTCTGAACGCTGATTGGCTCTTGAGTGTGACGTCATCGCTATGCCATCATACAGTAGGTGCCGTAGAGAGTATCAACAATCAACATAGTACCAATATGTTAAATAGTTTTAAATACTTTTTAGCGAATTGTGCGCTTCTGGCACCAGTTTTAAAAAGAAAATGAAAAATAATAATGTCAAAATGAAAAACAACGATATCTTCATATTTCACGAAGGCGGCCCTTTTCCTTTAAGCATAAGCACCAACTGAAAATTATTCTGGTGGCGGGTCAGTAATTGTGGCATTGTTAAAGCCGTACGTATCCTCACTCTGCTGGCAGCGTTCGTGATGTTTGAGGTCGTTTGGTAATGGGCCTTTCCTAAGTCAAGCTGATCCCAGATTTCCAGCGCTGACGTCCTATGTAGGGATGGCTATAATTCAGTTCATTTAGAGACCGCTCTGGTACGTTTTCTCCTTGTAGCGTGCTGAGGGTTGTCGGTTGCCGCAGCCGCCCTGGCCCTGCCCGTGTGCCGAGCGGCGGCAGTGTTTCGGCCGACCAGTGCCCACCGCCAGCTACTGTCCGCTGACTGTCCGGACCGGCGGCTGACCGTCCCCGGCCGTTCCCAGGTGCACCAGCTGCGCGAGCTCCTCGAGCGCGCGCTCATGATGGACTCCAGCAAGCGGATCTCGCCGTCGGAGGCGCTCCGGCACGCCTTTGTGCAGGAGAGCTTCTAACGGCGCCGGGCGCCGCCGTCTCCACTCGGGTCTAGCTGTGTCCGGGCCGGCTGTGTCCGTGTGTGTGTCTGTGTGTGACTGAGTCTGTGTCTGTCGTTTGGCGCTCTGACCGAGTGTGGCCTCTCTCTCCCTCTGCGTGCAGGTGCTGCATCGGCAGTGGCCGTCGCCTGCGGTGTAGAGGGGTGCGAAGGTATACAAAGGCAAAGTGGGCACTACCACACACTGATACATCTGTTACACTGTGTGAATTGTACCAAACGTGTTCTTATAATCGCGCGATTGACTTGTCAGTAGATGTAAAGCACAGAAGTAAGTGGAAGGTAGTTTGGTGTCATGTCATGAAGGCAGTTTGGTGTCATGATACAAACAGTAGACTGATGGCGCACCGGTTTTCTTTGAGCGCCGTGTTTGACTGAGCTACCCCGCTGCTTCTGTAAGAGGCGCGTTTACTGGGTCTAGTGGCGTATCTCGCCAGTCACCTATACGGGGATCGGGCCGTGCCATCATCTGCTGTTCAGACCACCAGCTTCCCGTGCCGACATGTCCTGTAAATACATGTCTGTGTTAGCGTGGGCTGAGCCGGACGATTCTGACACACTTCCCGATTCGCTAGCGCGTCGCGGGCCGCCAGCTAGCCCGCGCAGCCGCTGCCCGGGAGCGGCGCGGCGCCGTCCCGACTCTGCGCCGGCCGCCGAGCGTCCACCGGTCTATCTACAGTGTGGCGGCAGCGCAGCCGACGGCGCTCACACGCACAAAGGAAGGGTACCGACAGCGCGGCGCGCCGAGCCGAGAACCACCGTCTCATGCTTCCGAACGCCGCAGCGATGGCTTTCTTAAATGACTATTCACAAGTCATTTAAGAAGCTCTTTGCTGATAGCGGAGGGTTAAATTGCGTTACACTGACGCAAGCGTTCTCAAAAACGATTAATGTATGTCAGCCCAAATATCAGTTTGCATTGGCAGTCGAAAATGTCAACGGAAGCATTCAGGTTGTGGTTCTCTTCCTCTTGGTTTTGTCAGGATTTCGCCTACACGTTGCAGTGACGGTAACTAAGCCATCGAAGGCCGGGCTCCTGGCTTCTCTTTAGTCTTTTCTTCAGTGTGTTATGCAGCAGTGGGCACCGCACTTTGTATGTGGCCAAGCACCCCTTCCTGCAGCACAATCCTCTTGTCCCGTAATCATCACCCTGCCCCACTGTCGAGCCTCTATATCCCTGTCCTTCCTCCCCGGCTCCCGCTCCCCTGTGTGTTCCCGGCTTCCCGAGCTCCCCACCCGCTGCCGGTGGCCCCGTAGACGACAGCTGTCTGTCTGTTCTAACGCTGTTTCAGGTGGGGCCCGAGGCCGGGTCAGCGCGCGAGGACCGCCCACTGAGAGAGCCACCGTCACCCTGCGAGGACCCGGGCCGCCCGTCCCTCCGGGTCAGTGGCTGACGATTGGTCAGGAGGGTCTGGTTGACAGGTCAGGCAGTTGGGTCAGAGGCGTGGTGGACAGGTCAGGTCGTAGGAGTCTGGTTGACAGGTCAGGCAGTTGGAGTGGAGGCACGGTGGACAGGTCAGCAGAGCTGGAATAGAGTCACTCTGGTCACCGCAGCGGGGCTCAGCTTCGGGTCACTGCCGTGGGACTGGTGCCGGCCTGTGTAGACCGCTCCCGAATCGTAGCGGCGACAAACGCAAATCTGCGGTCACATGCCGTCCGCTTCAGTAAGGCAGAATGGCAGCATCGACGCCTCTGCGATCGTTTTGCGAGGGAAAGCCATGCATTCGACTTTTTGGGAGCGTTGTCCACATTTTTTTCTTCCACCGAATCTGTTTTCTTCTTTTAACGTCACTATACATTTGTATGGGACAGTCGTCAAGTTTCAGCCTCCTATCTCTGACTGAACGAAATCGTGGGTATCATTTATCTACTAGTGAAGACTTAAATCGTTTGCCGGTAGGCTAGGCAGATGTGTGAAATGATTCGATTCAGTGGTTACGGTTAGGTTATTTTTTTTTACATCTCCCCGAAAAAAGTCATCTATTTGCATCTCTGTTAAGTGCAACGCTGGTGTCCTTCATTCTGAGTTGAGTCAGTATTATCAGGCTATATAGCGCATCAGCCGCTATACGCTGTTACTACCGCTATACGGAGGGGCGCTGTTATTACCGCCACATGGTCGGAGCTGGGAGCTTAGGTGAGCTGAGACATTGAATTTCAGAGCTCGGGTGAACCGAGACAGGTGAGTTCAGTGCTCAGAGGTGCGAGCTCGGGTGAGCTGATAGTTAACACAGGTGAGTTCAGTGCTCAGAGGAGGTGAGAGTGTCGCGAGCGGTGAGTCGGCCGTTTGTCTGTCTGTGTGCTCCTGTTGCAGGGACGCTGATGTTGACAACACCGGGACTTCAGCCACCGGCAGCGAAGGGCGGCGGCGCTCCGGGCCAGGGGCGCGGCCGTCGCCCCGGGCCTCGCTCGGTCGCTCCGGGCCGGGGAGGCGGCCGGCGCTCCGGAACTCGTCGCTCCGGGCCGTCGCCGGCAGTGGTCGCTCTTGTGATTGATGGTGCCGTCTGGTGTACCTAACCTGTCTTTCGATGTGCCTAGAGAATACAGAGACCTGTTCAGAGAATGTGTGTAAATGGATTCTGGTTGCGGATACGCTGCTGGAAAGGGGAGAGTGTCGAACTCACTATAAATATTCCTTCCAGAACCTTCGGGCCTCATTGGTAGTTTACTAACTACTTCCAAATTGATTATCATAAAATGAACTAAGGTCACATGAAGGCATTAGGCAAGTCCAGGCCACTGAAGTTCGGTGACTTGCAGCGTCTTTGTTGAATTTCAAAAATACCTTGGGTATTCTAGGCGATTTATTAATTTTTATTTGCATCCACTTAGTAACAAGACAATATAGCTACATCTTGAACCTATGAAAGAACTGCGTGGCCGGTCACGTTCCAGTTGCAACTACCAGACGAGCATCCCAATAGCGTCCCACGATTGCCCTGTCCGGCGGCTGGCGCAGTGTGACCTAGTCTCCAACCCACTCATTCAGTGATTCGGATTAGTTTTATGAAAAAGACTGGTCAAACCAAGCAACACATTTTAAATAACGAGCTCGTGACCTGGTACGTTGATGATATTGACTAGCCCTCAGGTTCCGTCCGTTTAACCGCAAAAATGCACGCTCTGAAACTGACGACTCCGCAGAACGGCGCAGCATGCCCATTGCTCATCCACCATCACAGGCCGTGTCGCCCCGCCCCGGCTACCGGAGGCGCGTCGAGTGCTGGCCGGTGGCCGGTTCCTGGGGCGTGAGACGCGGCTGCGCGCCCTTCCCCACCGACAGCTCGGCCACGCCCCGGCGCACCGCCTCCGCGCCCGCCGCCCCCTCGGCCTCCTCCTGCTCGGGGCGTCTCTTCCTGCGCCGCTTCTTGCGCACCCGCGGCACCCCCGGCTTGCGCGCGCCGGTCTTCTTCCTGGCGGCGGCCGCGCCCGGCGTGCCGTTGATAAGGGCGCTGATTCCCTGGGCCACGTCCTGCTTTTCGTCCTTATCGTCCACTATGAGCCGCGAGTAGCAGTCGTAGTTGTACTCCTTGCAGGCGCCCTGGAAAACGTGGGACAGGCAGCTGATTGACTGCTGCAGCACATAAAAATATAGAACACGAAGCATGTCGGAATAAATCTGTTTTACTGGTCTCAACGATCGTCCGGACCCTGGAGTCTGGACTATGGTCACTGGTCAGATCATTCATCATTCATTCATTTATTCACTTACTGGAACATAAATATTCATTAATTTCCCTTCATCTAGGTATAGGGGAAGGTGGGGTAAGACGGCCCAGCGGGGCAAGACGGACCACCAGCCCTCCCGGCTGAACCGCTGCTGGTATCTACTGCTTTATGCACTCACTATGTTTGTTTTCCTTCGTAACAATGGCCACCTTGAGCTCATGCTGCTAGGATGCATAGCTTTTGAGTTATTGAGAAAAATGTTGTTTTTCGTCAAACCGATCTAATATAAGAGGTCTACGGGTGATTCAATTACGGCGCCTTTCTTGCATGATTAGTTTCTATTTTGCACTTAACTGTGAAGAACAAAGTTATAAACTTAGTTATAGTCACACTTTAGGAAAGGCAAGGTTTTGCATTGTTGGGCTATTTGACATATACGTCATGATAATGACAGAATTTAGATTTGGGGCAAGACGGACCACTGTGGTCCATCTTACCCTGTGGTGGTCCATTGTACTCTGCATATGGAAAGTTCTTTTCCAAAACATTGACACAAGTTTAAGTAAGCTAATTTTTCAGGAAGGAGTCTTTGTTGCATGTGAGCAATGCATGCAAGTGCTCAGTTAGCATGCATTCATGCCAAACGACAATCAACACACATGTTTCCAGCTTTTAGCTGCACTTCCATCACACATGAGTAAAGAATAAAGGCTCATTTTGTTATTTTACCATTCTGGTATCTTTTTCTTACAAGAGTACAGAGCAGAAGTGTAACACACATGCGCGGATAGCCGGCACTGCTGGGTGGTCCGTCTTACCCCACGTTTTTTCTTGTCTGAGTTTTTGACATGTCCCTCTTTAAGAGCATCCACCACCTAGATGTCTTTAATTTGAAATTTAGTCTTTACAAATATCAACAGAGGAAGGATTGAGCATTCCGAAGACTATAAATAATATGAATTACGAGAGCAGTGTAGCAAGATATGCGGCCTCAAACCTTAGCTGGTCCGTCTTACCCCACCTTCCCCTACAGCCATTCATTTTTTTCATTTTCATAGCTTTATCGTACACAGAGTTTACCATTGATTTAGACAAGGCATTGTAGATATAGGTAGGGTAAACCTACTTACGGCTCAGAAGTGTAAGCCGTGACGCTTAGGCAACAGAAGAAACTGGGAACGGTTTCCTTTTACTGATGGCTGATGGCTCTGACGCCACTCTCGACGTGTCGCATGGTCACTGACTGGGGGTGGCGGCCGGACAGCGCAGCGGCCGGTGACGCCGCCCACTGACCTGGCACAGCTCCTCGTGACACTCGCGGCACGAAGCGAACCGCATCTCGACCGCCTGGCCCTTGCCGCGTTTGGCCGCGCGCGTCCGGGGCACCAGCTGAGGCAGCGGAGGGCCCTGGTACGTCCTCCGGCAGTCCCTCCGACACCGCGCCAGCGACACCAGTCTGAGACAGCCGTCAGCAGAGGTCACCGGGGTCACTGGGGTAGACGAAGGTCACTGGGGGCAGCTGAGGTCACGGGGCTCTTCTGGGAAAAGGCGGACAAGCGACAACTGAGGTCGCTGGTCGACTGAGGCCATTGGGTCTCAGGAGTCTGGGGAACAGCGCACAGGTTACAGACCTATCAACTGTGGTCCGGCATTAATTAAAGGAAATAGTTCACTTTCACGAAATTATTTTTTTTTTGCAACGATTTATTATTTTTTATGTTCAAAATAATCAGCAAAGAAAATAAAACCTTTTTATAACAAAAGATTTTTTTTCTATATTTTGATATAGGAAGAACTTTTCAGTTTCTGTAAGGCACACGCGATCCAGTATGAAAAGAGCATGGGTCCCGAAAATTCTTCAGAAACAGAGAAATTATCGCAGCCACCGGCATTTGGGCGATCTGCTCGATCTGATAATGTTCCCCTGAATGTCCTAATTGATCAGTACGAGAATTTCTCTAGAGTTCTCGTAGATAATTTCTCTAGTTTCTGAATAATTTTCGGGACCCATGCTCTTTTCATACTGGATGGAAATATATGCAAGGCACACATCCTCAACGCAAGACACCTTTTTCGGCACGAGAAATAGAATATCTTTGCCTAGGGTGATCGTTGGGCTGTAAAAGCTCCTGATTTATGCTCGTCTCAGCCCAAGCTACGGAACTGCTATTCCAGTTCAAAACCCATGTTAAAAAGTGAACTATTTCCTTTAACCCGCGCACCGACGGGGGGGGGCGGATATCCGCCCCCCCCTGAGGTTTTTCGCGGATAGCGGGAAAACCGCGGCGCGTAGCGCCGCGAAATTTGGTATGACTATTCTCTTATCAATTTTACACATGGTGTGCAAGTTTGAACTTCCTAACTTTTAAGGTCAGGTCACCAGGTCACTTTGAATGACCCAACCTCAAGTCACTTTTTTGCAACTTTGTCACCGTACCAGAGCTACAGTAGATGTCGGAGGCCTTTGAAAGTCGCAGGATGTTATAAGGTCATTAGTAGCTACAATTTGTATATCTCGGAATTTTGATGTCGGTGACCTAAGGTCAGGTCAATTTCGCGACCTCCCCATTATAAGTCAATGGGGGAAAAATCAACTCCCTGTTTTTACCACTAAAACGGGTCGGAATGGCCCCATATACCATACATGACTTCACATACGATCAACCTTCACTACCTTGAGGTCTGTTTTGCTGTTGGGCAGCTGTAAGGTCATGTGACGTCATCAAAGGTCACCAAAGGTTTTTTGCCAATAACTCCTTACAGGAACAAGATACAGCCGCGCGGATGGTCTCATTGTGTTCAGCTCGTCAAGACGCATCGAATGATATACATGATGACCTCGAGGTCACGTGACCTGAGGTCAACCTTTGACCTTGACCTTTCGAGGTCAACATATATATCATTCGATGCGGATTGACGAGAGGATCACGATGATGCCCTTAGTTTGTTCCTATCTAGACTACTTCGAAAGTTATTCGAGAGAAACCCTCTCCATATCTAGCGCCGCCATTTTGACTTTTTCGACCCCTGTGACGTCATCTTTAACCTGACCTGAAAATGACCTTAGTAAAAATTGTAGACCTTGTCCGTGCGTATCCGATGCCGTTTACCGCTTGTCGCTATCTTGCTTCGTTCTCGAGATCTCAGGGGGGGGCGGTCATCCGCCCCCCCCCGTCGGTACTAAGTTGGCGCAGACCCCCGTCGGTGCGCGGGTTAAGGTCAGTGCTTTGGGGTCGTCTGACGGGCAGCAGACATGTGTCAACTTAGGTCACTATAATTCGTCCCAATCATCGCATACCTATGAATAATGCCACTTCTGTTTTTAGATCAGAATACGATGTCACATTTGGTGTCCATTGGCGATAGTGCCAGAAGCAATACCAATGCTAGGAAGGTATTGCAGGTCAGACATGTAGTACCACTCTGTGCCAGGGACGCCCCCCCCCCCCCCATCCCAGGCTGATTCCGTGTCCCTCGCGTCGCGTGGGGCCAACCGGATTGTCCCAGGCTGACTTCCATTACGCTGATGTCATAGCTTTGTCCCAATGCTCACAATCGACCGTTTGCGTGATAAACGGCACAACTGATAGCTTCTGAGGAGTGGAACATCATTCTGTAGTCGACACCGACTCAGTGGGCGTCGACTCGTCACGGTCACGGCCGTGCCGGGTGGCGGTCCCGGTCCGCTCGGCTGGTTGTCTGATATAACGGGCCGTACTCGCCACACTGGAATTCGGCCCGTCTTCGCCTATACGTCGGCCGATCTCCTAGCGCGTGTTATGGGGAACAACCGACCTGACCTGACCTGATCTGACGACGGACGCTGCTTGGTGTCCATCGTGCCCTGTCGTTTGTTACTAAATAGATTAGAATTTCCATGTCTCCATGGAGAGTGAACGGCAGAGGTGACACTGACATTTTTGGCGTTCTTCGATGTCGTCTTTGAGTAGGTATGTTTTTAATGTACTATTTTCAAATTTTTTCTTTTGTTAGCTCTGACCTTTGTTTTGGTCTCGACAGTAATCAAGATAAGGAATAGCAGCCACATCTCACATTGCAATAGCACAATAGTTTGCAGTAAAAAGAAATACCTATGAATCGCGATGCGCATGTCATTGTGAAAAGGATGCGGCCGAAGTCTGCCTGCGATAGATAACATTCACGACTAGATAGACAATATTCTATCTATACAATATAGACAATATTCACGACGGAATATTGGGCAGATATATTAGTGGCTTGATCCGTTTGGTTCCAGAAAAAATCGTATGTGTTTAGGTACTATTTCGAATGAAATGTCGATTCCTTTGCTTCTTTGCGGATAGGTGCCTGGCGTTCTGTCATGAAAAAGGCCATTACTTTCGCCTGTCCCGGAATGGATCCCATTGTTATGGCGGTGTTATGGTCATTGGGCCTCGATTTGTGAGACGTTGGCTCACTTTGAGAAGAACTCGTCCTCCAGTTTGCCCCTGGGCCGGGCCATGGTGAGCATCCTCCAGTTGATGTCGGTGCTGCAGAGATCGTCCAGGCTGACGCCGGCCATGCTGGCGGGCATCGGGTCCGGGTAGCTGAGCTGCACGGGCTGCCGCTCGGAGCGACTGCTGCGGAAGTGCAGCGCGCCCGACACCCGGCCCTCCTCCGGCCGCACCTGCAGGCGACAGACGGGGAAGGCAGATAGATAGACAGACCATACCTGTCTGTAACAGTAGGAACCGACACCCGGCCCTCATCCGGCCGCACCTGCGTGACGGAAGGAGCAGATACCTACCTATAGTAGGCAGACAGACAGACAGACAGACAGACAGACCGACAAAGCAGGGCGTACCCGCGCCCGACACCCGGCCCTCCTCCGGCCGCACCTGCAGGTGACAGACGGGGAAGGCAGATACATAGACTGACAGACAGATGGACGGACGGAAGGACAGACGGACAGACAGACAGACAGACAGACAGACAAACAGACAGACAGACAGACAGACAGACAGACAGACAGACAGACAGACAGACAGACAGACAGACAGACAGACAGACAGACAGACAGACAGACAGACAGACAGACAGACAGACAGACGGACAGACTATGCGTATACATGCCTGTCAAAGTGGGCCCTGACACACGACCGCACTCAAACAACTGGAACAAACTTGATGAACATACGAAATCGATTGTGAAGGATTTAGGCATGCTACCACCATTGCATCACTTAAAAATGTCTCATGAAAGGAGCTAGGAGGCCACCTTGATACATAATTACACAGTGTATAGAATAATTACATAGTGGAATAAATAATAGTGTTATTAATTACGCTATAATTAATTACGGTACTATTATATATCACATATTATTATTATATATTACGCTATTATATGATAATTGTTACCAATTACCACACCAAACATTATGCATCGTGGTTTGACTACAGTGATTTAACAGACCTTTCCAGGTTTGATCTTGTAGTCGGGAACTTTCTCGAAGACTTTGTCGAAATCTTCTTTGGTTGGCATTCGTGCCTTGGATAGGTCCAGGGCAGGTGGCGGTCCCTTCTTCTCATTAAGAATGTCATCCAAGTAGAACGGCATCGTTCAGCCCTTCTTCGATGTCCGATGAGCCTAGAATGCCCAGTTGTGAGTTGCGTTACAGTTCGCAGTTGGGAGGCCTCTGGCCTATAGCGAATGCAGCGGGCTCCACTGCAGTGCGGCGTAGCGCCTGCAAGGTTATACTGACCCGCTAAACAGCGGCGCATTGCGGCACAGTCTACGTCCTAAGCGCTAACTCCGACGGCGGGCCAGGTATGAGAAAAGCACCACTAGGGAGTCTTATAGCGCATTTTCCGAACTCATACGGGATAAAATTGTTGATAAAAACAGTATTTATGCAATCCGTTTTGGAGGACAATCTCGTAGAGGTAAGCAAATGGCGCATAAGACTGCAAAACTTTGCCTGAGGATGAAGCGTGTTTTGGGCTTTTGAAGGTGAACTGGTCCCCGCCCCCTTCACTTTTTCGCATATGTTCCTTCATCTATATTGTCAGCACTCAGCAGACAATACCGTAAGCGTTTGTTATTTTTCTTATAGGTATTGTTTCTGAACTAGCGAAGTAGCTCGAAGCTTTTAAAAGCTACCGTTATAAATGAAAAGTCACCTCACAGAGGAAAAGGCGCTGACGCCACTAAGCTCCGCTTCACTTCCAGGGGCTGGCACGGGACACTGTAGGTGCCCTATTGCAGCTGGGCCTTGACTGATGCCCCAGAGCTACTGAGCCTGACCAGCCTGGGAGCCGCCGACGGCGTCCAGTTACCATGGCAACCCCCCCCCCCCCCCCGTCAACTGCGCCAGCTGACTGTCTCGTGGTGCCGATACCATGCAAGGTGACGTAGGCTATTGTGTCCAAACGGGATAAGTCTGCTCTAGGGATTGGTAAGTCTCGCATCTTCATCCAGTCACCCGGTTTCAATATCCGGATCCGGATAATGGGTCTGGATTTTCCGCGCTCTGCATCGCCGCTTGGAACAGCGCAGGCGTGAGAGTTTCCATAGGCACTATAAGTCCATCATAGCCCATAGGATAGGCAATAGGCATAGTCTTCGCCTTCTGCTTAGGTGCCTTATCCACAGCCAAGTGCCAACCAATGCTCTCGTAACTAAACCAACCATTTGCAATGCAAGGTGCATTGCAGGCCATGAACTTCATAGGCTAACGTGGCGGGATGACCTTGGAGCATAAGATTGGGACTTGGCGGCGATTTCCAAGTCCAAGCGGACTTGGAAGATTGGGGCGACTGGCGAGGTATACTCTGACATCTGAAGAAAGGAGACACTGACGAGTTGTTTTCAGAATATAGGGTAGGGTGGGGTAATTTGAACATATGGGGCAATTTGAACATAGTGTGAATAACAGAAAATTACGGAAAATCCATAAGTGGCATGACAATAAGACCAATGAGAGAAATTATCGTAACTAAAAGGGCTATCATATGAACGGGGTTTTAAGTTTCAGGGAATGAAGATGTTGACGCACAGTGTAAAAAATCAATTTCGCAAGGAAAAACGCCTAACAACACGTCATTGCAACTTCATTGCAGCGCAAAATCTTGCATTGCTAGCGCCTAATACGCAACGGCTTTTGTTGTATAATGACCTAATCAGCGCCGTCAATCCAAGAAATTTGCTTTTGAACCCTGTTTTTTTAAAATTGCAAAATAACTTTTAGCGTGGGGTAGGGGAAGCCGGGGGAAGCCCGGGCGCGGGGGAAGCCCGGCCACCCCGTTTCCGGCTAAATTATTCACAATAAAATGCTCAACTGTTTGTCCTTTCAGCGTGGCAGCTAAGGTAACGCCAGCAAAAAAGTTCAGGCTAACAAAAATTGCTTATTGTTAAAGTTATAGCGCAAAAATGATATTTTAAGGGTTTTTAGCTAAAAAGTGAGATATGTTGCACTGTTAATGTTATACCATACAGTACTAATATTTATCCGAATGTTATGTAAGGACCGTTTAATTGTTTGTAGTGAAGGGTGACGAGGCAGACTGGCTTAAGTATGACATTTTTTTCGAATATCGCTGTTCTAAAATAAAAATTAGCACATTGGGGTAACCCTGGGCGAGTGGCCAAGCTTACCCCCAACCGAGAGCAATGCCACTAAACCACTGTTTTCCATGAGATAATAGGTACTGAGCAGATTTGGTTCACACCTAGATCAAAGATAAATTTCGAAAATAAACATGTTATCATAGACAAAGCCAGTCATGTCACTTAAGGTCAACTAGGGTCAAACTACGTTTTTGCAGATAACGCGACAGACACTGAAGCTAGAGCTTCAAAAATGGTGTCGTTGTGTTCTTCTTCATCAGCCGAGTTGAATGATATGCAATATGATGCATTAAGGTAAAAAGAAAAAGAAATTTTAAGGAATTTTGAAATACACATTTTTTGTCAATTTTGCATCACGATTTTCATCGACCTGTACTGTATATGTGGTAGACGCTAGCTAAAATACCAGTAGTGACATAAACTCTAAGATGTCCAGAGCTTATCAGTACCTTAATATTTCACTTTCCGTTAATATTTGGAAGACACATAATGGTTTCATCAACTCGTTGTAAAGCGCTGGGGAGGTGGCCGGCGTTACCCCTATGCCGGGCTTACCCCAGAAAAATCAACACTTTTTTAAAACTCGATTTTCTCAACCTTATACTTATTCCACGAAACCGAATTTTTGGGGAAACACGGCCAATGAACTTAGCTAGCTAACAGGATATCAACATTTTATACAGCACGTATGGTATGTAATAAAAATGAAAAAGAGCTTACTATGCCGGGCTTCCCCCGGCTTCCCCTAATTTGAACATAGTGTGAGAATTTGAATGAAGACAGGGATAGCTCCGAAAAAAAACAACGCTCCCAGTTTTTTTGCCAATATTTTCGACCCAAGGCAGTAGCAGATAAGTGATGCCAGTTTTGGAAAATTTACGTCTAATATCCGTCTAATGTCCGGCATTTTTGTTGATTTTCCGTCCAAAAATGTTAAAGTCAACTATTTGTCCAAATATGTCCGAAAATTATGCAGCTATCAACACTCAAAACCGTCATTCATATTGCTTATCACGTAATTTTACCAGCCGAAAACTGTTCATTATATTGAGATCTTAACTAGCTTTCCATTCGCCAATCAATGCTATGCACGATTACTTTATAAAAAGCGCTGAAGTGTAGCAAGCCATCGTCCAATATTGTCCAGTCTGCTACCTTTGTCCAAACAATTCCGAATTGGACATTGGACAAAATCAGAACTCCAAATGTCCAGGTTTCGATTGGCACCACTTTAACAGATGTAGTACGGTTGGGAGAGTTTTTATCGAACAAAAATGATAGACGTTCTGTTAATTGAAGAGGGGCGAATTCTGTCAACTGACCGGTGTGCAGCGTGCAGATATTGATACTCTGCAACTGTTATTTTTGCTGTTGTGTTGATTTTTCAAGTGAAGGTATGTTTAGAATTGTTCTGCCTATTTGTTTATGGGTCAAACAACATCGGTGCTGGCGAGACTATCGTTTTTATGACAGGTAAAGGCAGTATGTTCAAATTACCCCACGGTTGGGCAATTTGAACACACCGTGACTTGGTGGAGAAGTGAGGCTATGCTATTCAAGGTATGCTCGGCTCGTCCAAAAATGAGGCTTGCATGGTGAAAGTAAGTGACACTTGCGCTACTGAAGCAGTTTTTCTTCATCCAGGGTTGAACTGGAATTTGGTACAACGGAGAAGACGTAAAAATATGTTCAAATTACCCCACACTACCCTACCTCGCCAGTCGCCGTTGTTATCGTCACTCTTCAAACTAAGGCAATCAGAGCGAATGACCAGGCAGTGCAGCAACTTAGACCTAGCCATGCCAAGCAAAAGAGTTTAAGAAACCGTCCTTTATGTATGTACATACAATGTACATCGGCACAAAGCTATGGAACGTCTTGCCCACTCATTTTCGAAACCGTTCTAGAACTGAATTAATTCGCTACCTATCTTACTGAAAAGCACGTTACCTTACTGATAGATCAATGTTTTCTGCTGGCTTTGTGGCAATGCGTCGCTGTGTAACGTTTGAATGGTCCTGATCTTGTGTGTAGGCTAACTACGCTGTACTCAGGTATTCAACTGCCTTGGAACTACTGCACTAATCATCGAAAGCGTGTGTATGAGTGAGCGATGCACATTGCGCTGTATGAACTGCCCACCGTCTGGTGGTTAGTGGAAATAAACGAAGAAACAATATTAATAGGTAATAATCCTTATGATATATTTGCAATGCATCTGGTTAGAGCGATTGGATTGTATTAACCAAAAGTTGAAACCTGCGAGTTTCATGACTTATCTGGCATTAATTGTTGGGACAACTCCCCCTGTCATCGGCCTCCCTTCCCCCCACCTTATTCGAGGGGAAGCTGTTTTATTTGACCATCGACTCAGCCTGTGGGGGGTGTTTTCTGAATTTGTACCAGATGAAACGGCAAAGGAAATGCACTCATTTCTTTCTTTCCTCGGTAGTCTAAACGACCCTAGGTATCTCCTTTTTGGTCGGTTGTGGTGTTGTGACTGCTTAACCCTCGCCCGCACATGGGGGGGGGGGGTGGTTGCCACCCCCCCCCCCAGGCAGTCTTTCTGCTCTGCACTCAACATTTTTTGAGCTAGAAGGCTGATTTTTCGTATAGCTGCTCGTCTATCCTTTCTTGATGTCCACTGAAAATTTCAAGTTTCTGTGATTTTTGGTTTCGGAGATATGACCTTGTTTTCAGGTCATGTCATGACCCAAATGGCCAATTCTCAACATCTTGCGTTTGTCATGGGCCTTGTGAGCTTTTGACACCCTGATTTCGGCCTTTTTTGCCAGTCTTACCTCCCACCTATCATGGAACATGTTGTTCGACGATGTACAGGGGTCGAGGTCAGGGTCAAGGTCAACCTAGGTCATCTAAGATAATTGCGGTTTAGGCAAGCTGAATTTACTTTTTGTGAAGTTTTTTTTTACTGCATTTTTGGTAAAAGCTTCTCAGATCATGATTTCATGTGATATGGACCCAAAAACAATCGGTGCACACATCAGTATACACACAGACACACACAGACATACAAACACATATAATTGACCTTGACCTAGCTTGACCTGAAATGACCTCAGCAGCAAAATTCTGGTCGGATAGTGTGACAAAGAGGTTCTAGCTGGCTTGGCACCAGAAAACAGCATCGTCATCGGTATTTGATAAGCAGCGCACTTGATATCCAACGGTGACCCAAAACAGCAACATTTTTTAGTTTGACCTGACCTGGAAGGTCAATGACTGACCTGAGAAGGTAAAACTGGGTATCATTGGATTCGTCTCTTCCCAAAGAATCTTTTTGGTCTTTACTGCTAAGCTCTATCTCCAACAGGAACGAAATGGCGCGGGGGGGGGGGTGGCAACCACCCCCCCCCCCCATGTGCGTTCTAGGATGGGAAAATGGCATGTGCGGGCGAGGGTTAACGTTATCCATTTCCGCGCACTAAAAGTGGCACGGACCTTCGACCGGTATGTTGTGCAGTGTGCACATCCGTATGACTATGTTAGCCTCATCTCATCCATTCATTTCATTCTTTTCAAGACACTGCATCAAGAACAGGGAAACGAGTGTATTATATGGCCGGACGGAGTATAACTTTATATGTTTAGCAGTAACACGTATAGGTATTAGGCATAGGTAATTAAAAATATTTCTGAACCAGACACGAATCAACAGCGGAAACGGACGGCAGACGCAACGGTAACACAGAGCATTCTCGAAATCGTGCAAGCAATGTAACTGATGCAATTAAATTATCTAGCACGTTAATACAATTCAGACGGGTACACAGATTCAGCTTCTAAAAGCTTGGCCTCGTATGATTTATGCAAGATTACCATAACTATTTACGACAAATACGTTCATATGTGAGGATATATTGGACAAACAGACGTAAGTTACGATCATTCCACACCTTCAAATTAGAGAAGATGAATAATGCAGGCACTTAAATACAAATATTGCAAGGTCACTTAGCTATCACATTAACGTGTGAGAATAAGACCGTTAGAGATCAATACAACGTAAACCAGTTTCATTCGACACCGTTCTAATGATGCAGTGTACAACTGTGTAGCATATGATATGTCTATTGATATAGCCAGGGGCGTCGCCACGGATTTTTGAGTGGGGGGGTCGGATTTCCAGTCTTCACCCGATGGGTAGGGGTGTTTTTTTTTGCCACACTTCCCAGTTTTGTGCGTGCGTATGTATGTGTGTGCGCGTGTAAGAAATCGGCGCGCAGCGCCACGAAATTTGGTATAACCTATTAGGTAGGTATACCTACCTACATCACTTGCGTAAAAATTATCACTGGTCACTTAAGGTCAGGTCGCCATGTCAAGTTCAGTTATACGGTATACCTCTTTCAAACTTTCCCCTCTCGCCATTCTTGTAGCTTTTCTCCCATAACTTCGAAATTTGGTACACTGCATACCTAATGTATGGGGTTATATGTGTCAGCAATTCATGATTCTGAGGATTTACATCTATGATCTGGAGGCAGGTCAAATACGTGACCTCATCATTAGAAAATAATGAGAAATTAGAAAAAGCACGAATGCCTCCTGCTTTGAAAAGGTTCGTCAGAAAAGCAAAATATCTTTGGAGCCATGACAAATCAGCTCATCATTGCCAGGGACAGGGTGCAACTTATGGCGAGTGATGACTCGAAAGGTGCTTAGTGGAAATGTCCATCGATGGCCACCAGCATTTTTTTCTACAACTTTTGACGAAGACGCGGTAGAGCGATGACAGCACCTGGAAGGTGTTCACTGTTCAGCTCAACAACACGGATCCATTCATATGCAGCAGGAGGTCCTTTTTCGATCGATCGATCGAGGACATAACGGTGACCTGAGGTCGTTTTAACGTTAATTCTGAATGGTCAAATTTTAACTCATGTGACGCGTCTCAAAGAGATAAACACGGTGGTGATAAGACAACATATGTAAATACCATACAAATTCACGAAATCTAAAGTTATTGCAAAGCAAATGTTTCGGCAGAATCTGTCCAGTTAGCTGTTTGCCTTCTACGGGCAAAACATAGACCTGAGATGAAATTTGACGCGAAGCTAGCGAAAGAGCGTTGAAAGAGCTATCGAATATGTTTTCTGCTTCACTGTAGCCCTTCTATTGGTGGGTTCCCAGTCGCTAACGTATAACGTATACTAAAGTACCGCTGAGGTATGCTTTCGACCCCTGATCGATCTAGAGGTTTGCGGAAAAAAAGAGCATGCTACCCGTGACGAGAGAAAGCCGATGATACCCATTTACAAGGTTTCGGATCATCTCAGGACTCAGGTCATCGCCAATAAGTAAGGAAACTCGGGACCTGCTAGAACTCTGCGAATGTAAGTTGTGATGGTTTTTCGAGGTTCTGATTACGAATGTTATCTTAGTTTTGAACGAAGATGATGACTCCATGCATTTCGGGTAGATCAGGTCAGGTCAGATCGACCAGTCATAGTGGATGACCACCACTGATTGCTTCCTAACATGTTATACATATGTATAAGCAACACAACTACTTCTTAAATGTTCAGATGGGCGCTAAGTTCAAAATCAGCTCCAAAACTATCCTACATATGCCTAAATTAAAAGCATGTTATGAAAAAGTGAACCAAGGTCATCTTTATTTGAATCAGGGATATCGATTTATTTTTAAGTAGGTGATTAACTCGAGCGCACCGGAAGTTTCGTTGCAATCGGCTCCTTTTTTGCGCGACTTCTTTGCGAAAGCCCGAGACGGTTTCATCTGACTCCCTTTCCCCTACAATCTACATTTGCACTTGTTTGTTTTGTTTTGTTGGGTTAGGCCCTTTCGGTCGACAAGACCATTGCAGAGCCGGAAGGATGATAGGAATTAGGGGGAGACATTGGTCTGGGCAGGCACCCTAGAGAGTCGCCGGGGCTGAGCCCGTCCATAGGACAGGCCGACCAGCCCCCCAAGCATTCTCTGCACCCGGCTACGGGGTGCAGCTCCCTCGGGAGCAGCGGTGCCGCTCCAAGGGAGCAGCCCGCATGAGATAAAGTTGCCTGTCCAGCCCGGAGGGGGGTTGCGGCGTGGAGGAGAAGGATTTCAGTATCCTGAGGATAGAAGCACGGAAAGGTGACATTTGCACTGTACAGCTAGTTGTGACGGTAACCATGGGGCTGAGGCTAGTATGTAGTTTTGTAGTTAGGTACTGATCCGACGAATCGACTGCGACCATTTTTTTTAACGATCAGACGAAAGCTCGGGGCAGTTTTGGCGCGTCCAATCTTTTGAGGGATAAAAAGGTACTAGAATGGTGGCTACTTAAAAATATTGTTGTGCTGGTGTTCCCCGCCCACAGCTAATTGAACTTTAGGTAATTGGCTAATTGGCTTTAGGGAGCTCTTGAAGCGATTCTGAATCTGATGTATTTGTTGGTGTTGCTGACGCCTGCTTCACTGACATAAAAGCTAAAAAAGCATACTCAGCATCGCAAAAAGTGGGGGGGTCGACACCCCCAGTTTTCAAGAGAGGGGGGGTCACGACCCCCCCGACCCCCCCGTCGGCGACGCCCCTGGATATAGCAGATATACATTATAAGCTCTTTTTATATGTGAAGGCTTCACAACGTCATAGAATCTCTGTGTAAGCCATTGTCACGCGATTTAACAACGGTACACATGCAGCAGAATGTAGATTATCTTCCATTTCGCATATTCTCCAACCCGATAAGATTGCTTATTTACATGTAGTATCTTTTGACCGAATTATCTTTGCTATAGACAACAAAGCAACTACCCCTTTGTTGAACGTGTCTCTGCGTCTTCTGAGGCCCGCGCCGCGAGCCCATCCCTGGGCGGGCCGCTCACTCCTTGTGCGGGTTGACGTTGATGACCGAGACGCCGATCTTCTTCTGCTCCATGGTGGTGACCTTGGTCTGCGACTTGTTCTTGTGATAGATGACCTCTCCGGCCAGGGTGATGAGCGCCAGCACCAGGCCGGCCAGGGTCGCGATGAAAACGCCACCTGTCGCGAAAACCGGCGTGGTCAGACGGTTAGATCGGGCTACACCGCGGTGGTCAGACGGTTAGATCGGGCTACACCGCGGTTGTCAGACGGTTCGACAGGGTTAGACCGGCGTGGTCAGACGGTTAAAATGGTTTAGACCGGCGTTTTTAGACGGTTAGACCGGGTCAGACCGGCGTGTTTAGACGGCTAGACCGGTAGAAACGGTAGGCAATGGTAATCAGATGGCTAGTGGTGAACTCACTGTCGCCCCGACTGGGACAGAGTGGACTCTCACCGAAGCTGTGGGACCGGAGGGGACTCTTACCAAGGCTGTAGGACCGGAGTGGACTCTTACCGAGGCTGTGGGACCGGATTGGACTCTTACCGAGGCTGTGGGACCGGAGTGGACTCTTACCGAGGCTGTGGGACCGGAGTGGACTCTTACCGAGGCTGTGAGACTGGAGTGGACTCTTACCGAGCATGCCGAGACTGTGGGACCGGAGTGGACTCTTACCGAGGCTGTGGGACCGGAGTGGACTCTTACCGAGGCTGTGGGACCGGAGTGGACTCTTACCGAGGCTGTGAGACTGGAGTGGACTCTTACCGAGCATGCCGAGACTGTGGGACCGGAGTGGACTCTTACCGAGACTGTGGGACCGAAGTGGACTCTTACCGAGGCTGTGGAACCGGAGTGGACTCTTACCGAGGCTGTGAGACTGGAGTGGACTCTTACTGAGCATGCCGAGACTGTGGGACCGGAGTAGACTCTTACCGAGGCTGTGGGACCGGAGTGGACTCTTACCGAGGCTGTGAGACTGGAGTGGACTCTTACCAAGCATGCCGAGACTGTGGGACCGGAGTGGACTCTTACCGAGGCTGTGGGACCGGAGTGGACTCTTATCGAGCATGCCGAGGCTGTGGGACCGGAGTGGGACTCTTACCGAGGCTGTGGGACCGGAGTGGACTCTTATCGAGGCTGTGGGACCGGAGTGGGTTCTTACCTAGGCTGTGGGACCGGAGTGGACTCTTACCGAGGCTGTGCAGCGTGATGCCCTCACTGTCTTCCCAGCTGGGACCGGAGTCGGAGTGGACTCTTACCGAGGCTGTGCAGCGTGATGCCCTCGCTGTCGCCCCGGCTGGGACAGAGTGGACTCTTACCGAGGCATGTGAGACCGGAGTGGACTCTTACCGAGGCTGTGCAGCGTGATGCCCTCACTGTCTTCCCGGCTGGGACCGGAGTCGGAGTGGACTCTTACCGAGGCTGTGCAGAGTGATTCCCTCACTGTCTCCCCAGCTGGGGCAGAGTGGACTCTTACCGAGGAACTAGGAAGTGTCGCCCGGCTGGGACCGGAGTGGACTCTTACCGAGACTGTGCAGCGTGATGCCCTCGCTGTCGCCCCGGCTGGGACACTCTCCGCGCAGCGAGGCGTTCCAGTACTTGGCCGTCAGTCCCTCAAAGTAGCGATCCTTCTGCAGCTCCAGGATGCTGATGGAGAGACCCACGGATGACGTTAAGAGTCCACGGTGACACCCGCATACATGTGTCAATTGTTGGACATTTATTTGCAGTGGATGAAGCGTCAGACAAAGCTAAGGAATAATGATAGGTGGAGCCAAGGCACAGCCAATTCTTGTTGAAGTGATTATCAGAAAAGTGGTGCTTGTAGCACCGCTTGCCGTTAAGAGATAAAGACATCCTGCAGCAACGACATAAGCCACTTGCGCAACGTATATGACATTTTACGATTCTACAAAGCGCAAATGAAGCTCTCCGCAGAATTTCAGCGTATCTCGCCGAGCGCCGCAGCCACGGTCAGCCGTTACGGCCGCTGCCTGTGCAGTCTGTGCGTTCTAATGTTCTATGGCCTCGGGGTGCGGCACGTGGCTGCTCACTTTTTGCTGATCTCGTCCTGCAGGTGGCTGCCCTGCTGGACGGCGATGGCGTACGGCTGCTCGGCGAACGGCTCGCCCACCTGGGTCAGGTTACAGTTGCGGTACACCTCGTACCGCACGATGGACGCGTCGTGGATGAACGCGTACTCGCCCTTCTTGTTTTCGAGCACCTGCCCGCGGGAGGGTCGGGAAACGGTCACGGCTTCGCACAGAGGTAGTTATATCTAAAGAGATACAGTCACAGCTTCACGCAAACGTAGGCATGGAATGACAAAGGCAAATTCACAGTTTGGTACACGTAGGTATTTATTTTTACCGTGAGATCATACGAGCCCACCATAGTTGTCGTATGGTCCGTACGCATGGACATGCCGACACAGATATATCACGAAAGTCATTCACAATAGTCGCTGTAAATTCCTAACTATATAGTGTTTTAGTCTCATTCGCGCGCTGGTCATTCTTAAGAACGTGCTGCGAATCCGCCCGATGCATGCTTAGACTACGAACCCACAAAAGCATTTTTCGCGACGGGTTATCTTACAAACGAGCCACACTTGACAAAATCTGCACCAAATCTCTTTTAACCCGCGCCCTGCTGGGGGGGGGGGTATTTGAACACCCCCCCTTGTGGTTTTTCGCGAATATCTCAAAAACGGCGGCGCGGAGCGCCGCCGTTTTTGGTACACCTTATAATATATCAATTCTACACATGTTGTGAAAATTTCAGACCAAGGTCGTTCAAGGTCAGGTCACCAGGTCACTTGAAGTGACCTCACCTCATAAAAAGTTTCAATGTCTGTCATAGCTACACCGAGTGACCGATCGCTTTGAAACTTTCAGCGATTTCTAAGAGCAATAGCATGTACAAAATGTATATCTCAGTATTTTGATATCGATGACCTAAGGTCAGGTCAATTTTGCGACCTCCCCATTATAAGTCAATGGGAGAAAATTGAAATGCGCCTCTTTTGGACGAAAGACATTATAAACACTCCCAAACACTGAATTACAAGTGGTTTAGACACACTGAACATGAAAATAATGTCCATGACCCCTGTTTATGCCCTGAGGTCATCTTAGGTCACGAATGGTATCTAACAGTTTTTCGCGAATAACTTTTGATAGAGGCATGCTAGAGCGATGAAAACGCCTTAGATGTGTTCAGCTCGACGATACGGATCGACTGATATGCAACATGACCCTTTCCGGTCAGGTCATGACCTTGACCTGAGGTCAAATTTTCACGTTGACCTTTCAAGGTCAAGTTATAGTTCATTCGATGCGTCTTGACGAGAGGAACACGATGCCGGTAAAAGTAAGCTCATACAAGGCTTGGGTCAAAAGTTATTGCAGGAAAACTGTTTCCGAAAAAAATCGGCTATTTTTGCAGTTTTTGCCCCCTGCAGGCAAAACCGTTGACGTTAGGTCAAATCTGAGAGGATTATTCAGAAAGGGCGTTAATAGGGCTATCGAATGCGCTTTTCCGCGGCGCTGTAGCTCTATTGGTTCCCGAGTTATGCGTTGGCTTCTTGGAAATTTTCGACATTCGATCTGGAAATCGGCGAAATTTTGCCTTCAATGACCTCTGGTGACCTGACCTTTGACCTGACCAAAAATTGACCGAAGTGATTTCGTCATTATTTTTGACGCTCTTTCGAACGCCGCCTTCCGCGTATCGCTACGTGGCCCAGGAGCCGAGTTAGAAGGGGGGGTGTTCAAACACCCCCCCCCCCCCAGCAGGGCGTGGAAATCCAGGACCCCCAGCCGGGCGCGGGTTAAAACAATCATCTTGGACCCATGAACCCATGCCCAGCACCTCCACAGCCAGCCAACAGCCCCATCTCAACTCGTCTAGTGAGATATAGACAAATTTACCAGGAAATGAGAGAGAACTTTGGCTTTGCTGCACAAGGCCTAGCGCTGAGCCGCGACCCGCTGGATGACCCAGACCTGGCACCGTACCTGTTACGCGGTGCAGCTCGGTGCTAAAGTGTGGCTTACCGTAAATATCGCACGTAGTTGTACGTACATATGCATCTACGATCTACATACACAGCGTCTGAGAATAAAACCCTATGGGCTAGTAGGAAAAGTCACGCCCATACTGCCATATGACTTTGGAGGGGGCTGGTATCATATATTAATACCAGTATAACGCCTTTTGGGGCGACTAACGGAGCGAGCGAGAGGGTGAGCTTTGCACGTGCGAAATTTCGAGGGGGTACCTCCAGTTGACTTGTGCACGGCACCCTACTAACCGGTCTCTAGCGATGTGCCGAATTTGAGCACAATCGGCCCAGCCGTTCTCGAGATCTGGAAGCGGCACCCTGCACGTGCGCACGTGCAAAATGGGTCCCAACTGACTTCTGCACGGCACCCTACTAACCGGTCCCTAACCATGTACCAAATTTGAGCGCCATCGGTCCAGCCGTTCTCGAGATCTGGAATCGACCCCTGCACGTGCGCACGTGCAGCAGCACCCCAACTCTGGCACATGGATATGCATTGCCTAGTGGGTGCCTACCTACATGCCAACTTTCAGCGCAATCGGCCAAGTAGTTACGGAGATATTGCAACAATTACAAAAGTGACACCTCTTCGTTTTGCACGTGGCACGTGCATAAGGGGTCACCCACATGCATCGGGAATAGTCCAATGCTTGGTAGAAGGAATGAAGCTACCCTAGAAAAATTACCGCGTGTAAATCGGTCAAGTGGTTGCTGAGATATAAGCCTCGCAAAAGCGTGACCACGGCCGGCCGGCCGGCCGGCCGGCCGCTCATACTCAGAAATTTCCGTTAATCTAAGGAAAGACTACGCTCGCTTCGCTCGCTCCGTAATCAGGGCACTAAAGAGTCATTAAAATATGTCGTAGATCGTCTTCATATTTATTTCAGTGTTTTAATCGAAAGTAATGTTTGATAATTGAAAAAATAGATACATAAGCATATTAAGCAACTAGTGCTTCCCAAACTGATAACTACAGCCGTTTTCACGACGGCTATCGGTACACATTTGGTTCACATTTGATGCATGGTGCAGATTTGGTTAAGTTAGGTTCATTGTGTTTTTTTAGTTATCAGTTTGGGCTGCACAGTTGCTTATATACCTGATTTTTTAATTATTAGACATTATTTTCGATTAAAGCTCTGAAATAGATTCGTTACATGAAAATATATGTTAAAAAAGAAATTAATACGTGCAAATTTGGTAAGTATGGTGCATTTGTAAGATGACTCGCCGTGAAAACGGCTAAAATGAACGTAATTTGGCCAAAAATGCACCAAATATGGCATTTGCATCAAATGTGGACTAGATATGTACCAGATAGCCGTTGTGAAAACGGCTAATATTTCATTTGCGCACTAAGTACAGACGCGCAGTTTTATACTGGCACCACGCAAGTCTCGTTATACCAATGCGTGTTGATGGTGTAGCGCGCACTTTGCAGGCGACTTTCGCTCGCAGTACGCACCTTTTGGAATCCCTCCGAGTCTTTGGTGACCATGCCGGTTTTCTGGATGACGTTGAGGATGTGTGTATACTGCTCCTTGATGGGGTAGTCCCAGACGCGGTACTTGGCCTGGTCGGTCGTCGAGTTGAGCGTCATCTCCTTCCACACTCTGCCAGAGGCCCGGCCAATTAATACGGAATACAGACATTACTGAGCGAAGAGAGCAGTTTGAAGCGTTGAGCTACTCAATAGTAAGTGTTAGCAAGGTTGTATAGTAAGTGTTACGATTGATTAATGTGTGTATGCGTTTTATTGTGTGTTTGCTTTATCATTAGCCATTTTACCGCTTTTATGTAGGTATGCGCCGATTCTACCATTGCTTGTATGACGTGGGTAACTGAAAGCCCAACTGAACGTGCAATCCCAATAAGTGGCAAGAACTATAAATTGAAGCCATCATTGTCCTCCTCGTTCCTTTTCCCGAGTTTCTTCTACATATGTTTTTACTACAAAGACAAAGATATCCTCAACACTGTAAATGAGGAGACTTGACTTTCTCTAGTCTGTTTTTCTCAACTTTTCTTCATTTTTTTGTGAACACTTCACCTTCAAGTTATCATGCCTTTGCGATGGCTAGCAATGCATCCATTGGCTTCAAAACTAGCGAACAGGTGTTGAAGCATTGCGTTACGCCCTCGTAAAGGTGTGACTTCTGTCGCTTTTAGCACCGAACACGACTGCAGCCGACAGTGACTGATGAATAATTCAAACACCGTGAACAATTTATAAGCAGGACACCAGACTTCTCATCAATAGTAGGTACATGCAACCATGAAATAGTGAAGAGCACAAGCACACTTTTAAGTGGACGGTTACCCGTGGAACAGAACAATGCTAGGTTATTACCATCTATACCAAGAAACCGAACACGCAGCATACGATTGAGGATGAAATGTGCGAAATATCCACCCACAAGGAGTCACTCACGGCTGTACCATGTGCGTATGTGTAACAGGCACACAGAAACATGTAGCATGCGGCTGGGAGTAGACAAGACTGACATTGACATCATTTGATTCAGCAGATAGCAATTAGCCAAACCCAAATAAAGTAGGCAGAGGAGAAGGTCAGAAGGGACTTCAGAAGCTCATAGAAGTTGTGATATTTAGCCGCCATCATACAACAAAAGAAAAGAAAGAACTAAATCCCCGCAAAATTTTAATAAAATATATAGATTCTAATAGCACCGCTATAGCTTTCACCACACAGCAGCAGCCGTCGAAGCGCGATCCCGGGCCCAGATCACAGAACTAATTATCACACCGACTCGGCCAGAAGCCGCAAGTCTCCCAAGACAACAGTCGGAAGTCTCCCTTGCTGCTGTGCACCAGCTGACGCCCCGACCCGCAGAGCGAGCCCGCCCCCACCTGCACGGCGGGGGCGGGGGCCGGGGACGGCGGTCTCACCCAAACAGCTCACCCCTCAGCGGCGGCGGTCTCACCTGAAGAGCTCCTCCTCGGCGGTGGCCATGTTGCGGAAGTACTCAAGGATCGAGGAGTTGGATACTACCGTGTACTGAATCCGCGACTGGCGGGCCAGCTCCTCCAGCGATTTGACGGTGGTCTGCGGCACAGCGGCGGAGGCGGCGCCCCGGCGACACCGGTGACCTCAGAGCTCACCTCTGACGGACCTCGCGGCACCCAGAGGTCACCCTCACTGACCTCACGGTAACCAGAGGTCACCCTTACTGACCTCACGGTAACCAGAAGTCACCCTTACTGACCTCACGGTAACCGGAGGTCACCCTGACCGGCCCACGGCAGGTCGCCAGTTCTCAAGGCAGCCAGAGCAGCTTCCTTTCCACAATTGGTCCGAGGTGGACATGATTGATTTGATTGATTTATTCATTTTATTTTATTGTCAACTGAATTTTTCAGCAGTACGTGTTCCACCATTTACCTTGTCAATGAATTCAACCATGAATGAAATATGTATTTATCATTTCTCACCCATGACCCAAGTTACACACTGTTTAATGATCGGCAGTGCCTAACTTTCAGTGAAATACAAACAGAAGTTGTTTAGGCATTTTTTTTAGTAAATTGGTCGCAGTGTATGCTTTTAGCATGAAGGCTTCTCTTCCGGCTGCTTATTTGAGATTGGGTCAAGCCTCTTCGGCCACCGGAGACTTGCCAGGAACTTTTGGGAGGGATTAGGATTCACAGATAAATGCAGTGCTACATGCTTGTGCTTTCACGAACAAAACAAATGCACTGCAGGTATGTGCATAGGTATAAGTAAAATATTTGGCTATAGTTTAGGTATCATTTCCAAACGGAACGGCTGGGGCATGCGAAACCTCTTGATCGATAGCCATTTATATTCGAATTAAGGAACTTAAACATGAATGGGATGATTTCAATCTTTGTATTTTTGTGAATATAAAGCTCACATAACCATAATTCCCTGGTCTTCAAAAACGCCTACCCTCATAAATGTACGTAATACAGATGCATACCTACAAATTATGTTCAAAATATCCGGGTTGATTAAGCTGTAAAATTTCCAAAACCTACTCCCTATTGTTTGAAAACACCTATTAACCCTCGCCCCGTTGGGGGGCCAATTTGCCCCCCCCCCCTGTGGTTTTTCCTGAATAACAAGAAAACGGCGGCGCGCAGCGCCGCCAAATTTTCAGTACCTTATCGGGCATCAATTTGACACCTTTACACAAAATTTCAAGTCTTAGGTCACCTTAGGTCAGGAGTTATTGAGGTCAAACTGAGGTCATGTTCGAACAAAAATGAGCAAAAAACACAGTGGCGCAGCCAGAACTCTGGCGACGGGGGTGAGAGACGTTCGCGATGGGCCCCCCAGCAAAGTGGGCCCCCCTCAACCTAATGGGGGCCCCTTACCAACAACGAAAGGTCAGATCATTGTCCTGATCATTACTAGCCAAATCGGGGAAAAGGACAAATATCTCTTGATCTGAAAAGGCACGTAAAAAATAACAGCATATTTACATTCTGACCATTCTGCCCATATTTGATGGACAGCGTGCAATTGATGGCCAGTGGCCACTCAAATGGTCGGGCTAGGTCAAAAAACTTTTAAAAAAGCTCAACATCAGTTTTTCGACTCTTACTTTTGATATAGGAGACGAATTAGAGTAATGAAATTGTATTGAAGGTGTAATCATCCATACGGATCAATTGATGACCAACGACCATCATGAACTTCTCAAGTAAGGGTATGACCTTGATCTGCATTCACATTTTGAAGTTGAACTTTTTATGTGAAATTATAGGTGTAAATATTCGATGCATCGAGAGAATGATGTCAAATTAAATGTCGCATAATTTTTCTCATCAAAGTTCTTGCAAAAATTCTTAGCAAAACTATTTTGGTAAAATGCGACTATTTAGATGGTTTTGCCCTCTGCTCTGTCGCCAAACCATTGACATGAGGCATTGGTCGAATCTTAAAAGCGAAAGCGTTTTGAAATGCCTATCGAATGAGTTGTTCCGCGAAGCTCTAGCTCTTTGGTTCACGAGTTATACGGTTATTTGTGAAAATATAAAAACAAGAATTTTTTCGTCGTAATCTTGTCTTTGTGTTTATCATAATTTTATCATAATTTCGTCTTCAATGACCTCAGCGATGACCTAATCGAAAAATGACCTCTACGATTCTGAAGCATGCTACAGCTATCTGTTGCTTTTCTCGTCTTTCTAGCCTTCTTAAATTATGATCGGGTTTGGCCGATACGCCCCCCCCCCCCATGGCTGATTGCACGCGTTAGAGAGCTATCGAACCCACTTTCAGCGCGCTATAATAGCTTTATATGTCCTCGAGTGTCGAAATAGGCGAAACTTTTCCTTCGATGAACATGATGACGTGGGCTTTGGTCTGAACTGCAACATGACTGAAGTAATTTCTCCATGATTTTCGACGCTCTTTAGAAAGCCGCCTACCGCCGCACTCGTCGCTACGTAACCCTGGAGTCAGGTTAGAAGGGAATATTCAAACCCCCCTTAGAAGCGTACAACTGGAAAGCCTGGGGCCCTGCTCTGCGGGGCGCGGTCGAGCTAGGCTAGAGCCAGTTCGGAATGTTTACAAGCCCACGTAAAGCCCTCAAGAATCTGCATAGAGCACAGGCCTTCCAAGACTTGGGGGTTTAGATATCAACAATCGACATGGTCTGTTGAGACCTGCGTGGTGGCTATCAGAGGTGGGTGGGCCCCTCAAAAGCAGGGGCGTAATCACTCCTTAAAAAATGGGCTGGAAATAACTCCCTGGGGGCGGCATCAAATGCGAAGGGAAGGGCGGCACTTATATTTTGGGAGCCAGGTGAGTGTTTGAGGGCCGTCGTGTTTGTGTATTAACCCTCGCCCGTATGGGGGGGGGGGGGGTCGAACAGACCACCCCTCGGTTTTTCGCGAATAACTCGCGTTAAAAGCGGCCAATCACGACGAAACTTTCAGTACCCTCGCGTTAATCAAGTTTACACCTGCCCTGAAAATTTCATGACCCTGACCCTAATGACCTTTGACCTACTTTTCGAGACCATGTTTGGCCGGAATTGCGATTCGGCGTATGTCGGCTCGCATTAGCCGCGCGTTTGCAGTCTTTCCGTGGTTTCATGCGTTCAAACATGGGATATGATGTTGCTCCCATGCATTAGGGTGGGTGTCAAGGTCACCGGAAGGTCACGTCATGTCATTGACCTTTGATGACCTCGGTTCACTTTTTCGAGTTTTTCATGTTTCTAGGTTAGTTTTTGGAGCTAAATTCGAATTTAGCAACCATTTGAACATTTACGAAGTAGTTCTGCCGCCAGAAGTTGTCGACACCAGTACACTCAACCAGTTCAAGACCCACCTAGACACCCACTGGGCAGACCTCGTACACGCGATACCTTACACAGACCAGTAAAACCCACACTAAGCAGCTCGACTGGAACGGACGTAAAGGCCAAGTGGCCTATGAGTCAAAATTCTGTACTTCTTAGTAGTTTTGGTGCCTTCGTAACATGTTACGAAGCTGTCAGAGGCGGTTGCCACCTACTACGAATACCCGACAAAACCCTTACTGTTTGACCTGACCTGACCTGACCCGACCTGGCCTAAATGCATGAAGACATCATCTATGATTATAATTAACATGATATGCGTGATCAGTACCCAACTCCATAGCAGCCACCCTTTACGACGTTCTAACAGGTCCCGATTTTCCCGACATTTGGGTCATTGACCTGACCTGGAAGGTGACAAGGTCTACCGATGACCTAAGACCTTAAAATTTGGTAGCATCGGCTTGTTCTCGTCACGGGCAACACGGTCATTTTTTCCGCGAAGCTCTAGCTCGATCAGGGGCGAAACGGCAAGGCCCCTCCCCCCCCCCCCTACACGTTCGCGGCTGAAATAAAAACACCAATACGGGAAAGGGTTAAGAACTTTCGCTTTGGGAAATAAGAGCAATAATCAGCAGTCAACTGACTACACGTTCTGAGGCGCAGACGTAGATAACCCGCCACTCCGCCACGGCTCTGGTGTTTGAGATATTGATACTTTATGAGGTATATATGCATGCGTAAGATGGGCGGTCAGCCCGTTGCTAGCAGTTTGACTTTGCTACTACGCACCGGATTGATAAATGATAGGTACACTCTTAAATAGTTCACTTCATTCAGGGTAGTTAAATTGCAATGGGATCTGAGTTCTGACTGGTTGGCGTCAAACCCAGCTGACAATTCTAGGGCAGCCACAGGAAGTTAGCTATCCTAGTTAAAAGTTTACATAATAGACAGCGGCGTATTTAGAAAATTGCGAAGGGGGGGCCAAGGGTTAGGAGAGCGCCACCTCACCCAAGGAGGGCGCCATACGGTCACGAGATAAAAATCCGTAACGATCGCTCAGGAGGGGGAGGGGAGGCGTTTTTTTTTTTTACCACGCCACCAGTTTTTCTTCGCGTGTGTATAAAGGAAAGCCGCGACGCGCAGTGCTGCAAAACTTGGTAGGTATTGGGTTAATCTCACAGTGGCAAAAAGGTTGCAAGTGATTGGCATCAGTACCTACTGAGTTCCTATTGACAAAGTGTTCTTGAAATGCTGCGCCGAAGGCGCGCGAAATTTTCGAAAACAAACCCTTTCTCCGCTTTTTAAGCACACCTGATTTGTTCTCTGTTCAAAGCTCTTCTCACTCTTTTAGCAAAGTTGGTGGGGCAAAAATAAAGGTTGGTGGGGCCACTGCCACACCAACTGTACAGGAACCTCCGCCCATGGGTGACGGTGTAGAAAAAGTTAATTGGTGGCGGCATCCACACCAGATCACCGTATCGGATTGATACCGGAGCACGAACGAGCCTTCTCACAGATCCATCCAGTGTTTAGCACATAACACATATCCAATTTCAATCGCCGAAATTTCAAACGCTTGTTGTTGCGGCCGTGCCCATTGACTTCTTTATCGTGATCCTTGCACCTAAATGTCATTATTGTAAGATCAATCTGTCAAGACCAAGACGGGTTTCATGCATAGAGCGTGTAGTTTTGGTTTACTTCATTCATTGTGCTGAATGCACGCTCATTTGTGGCAGTTTCGACAGGCAAGGCACCAAATATG